AAGCAGGCATGCCAAGACTTAATCCAGACGCACTCGTCGCATGCCCAGCGCATTTAATGCGCCACAAGTAGAGAAAATTAAGCGGCGTTAGAAATTAATACAGACATCAGACCAAAGTGCCGGATCGCAGCGGTTAATTCAGCTCGGCTCGTTGTCTCTCGCCCATGTGCCACATTCCAAGTGCAGCCGCAGCGCTGACACGGCTCCTGCTATCGGATGCCATCAATTGCAACAACAACAACAACAACAAAATCGCATAACGTATAATTTTCAAAAGTGGCAAACAACAACAAGAGCAGCAGCTCTCAATGCTGGGCAGGCTTAGGCCGGGACAGCCCACAGACATGATATATGTGTGTGTGTGTGTGTGTGCCCCCACATATCATGATGCACAGTGGTGCCAACTATCAAAATGCAATCGAATTGAGTATTAAGAACAAGGGGCATCATCACGAAACGGTCTTACTTAAACTTTTTTTTCCCAAACGAAAAGCGAAAAGAAAACTCAGTGTCCAAGCAGGGAAATGCTTCAACTTGTTTTCATATACACTCACCCAAATTCTTTCTATACTTTGGCATCATTTAAATAAATATACATTTATAAGGCAGTTAACATTTATAAGCAGACCTTTAACATGAGCTTGACATGCTGTTCAAATTAAAAGGACCTTAGGCTTGCCCACCCTCAAGTAAATTGATCACATTTATATATACATATATATATATATGCTATATATGCTCTTGTGCATGACTTAGTCATGCTCTTAAATTGATGATAAATGGAAGCGATGTCATGATCTTTGCCCTGAAAGAATTTTGATTTCAATTGAATGACGATCGTGTCGAACAAGCAGCAAATCGCTTGATTTTCCGGCAATTGCCGTCGGCGACTTGTTGACACGGGTCATGACCTCATGAGCCAATCAAAACGTAATTATTTGCTGCACTTGACAAATTTCTAACCACGGTAAACCCAACCAGCCACGGGTTCAACTCTTCGCTGTGTGTGTGTGTGTGTGAGTGTGTGTGTGTGCGGTGCACGAGAGCAAGTTTAATGAATTTATTTGAATGTTGGACAAATTGTGCACGACGGGCAAATTTACGAGCCTGTTTGCTAGCTCTTTGCTTTTACGTTGTGTGTTTGCTTGGGAGGGGGGAGGGGTAGGGGATACGGTCATGGGCACATGCCACACGGGCCAAGAGACACGGAGGGGGGGGGGGGGGGGGGCAACTCTCGTGATGTGTGTCAGTTTTACATTCACTTTGTACTCGTACCTTAGATATTAATTGCTGCTGCTGAAGACATATTGTTGGCCTTTCTACAGCAACAATTGGGCCCCCCCGCACAGGCCCCTACGGTTAGTTAGCTTTTAGTGTACAGTGAACGCTCGCAAAGTAAAATAGCGCACACGAGCCCAAACTAAAAATGCTATAAATATTAAAGCCCATAGAACTGGCTTTTGGTATAAATGCAATCGATTTTAAATATTATATATAAATATATGCGAAAGCCTTTTCATTTATTTTAAGCTTTTTTTTGTGCTTTTCTGCATTTGGCTTTTCCTTTTTTTTTTTTATGTTATAGGCGAATTGCATTTTTTTTTCGTCCCTTTTCTGCATTTGTCATTTTGTTTTTGGCAAATTACAGTTAATTTGAAAGCTTTACAATTTTCGAGCTTTTACTGTATTACGCTAATATGACTTACCATTGGTGAGCGTTGCCGTTAGCATGCATGTCAGCAGTGCGCCAAACAGCTGGCGCTGGAACTTTAGCCTAAAGCGGGTCTGGAACGGGCACATCATTTTCACTGTCGACTGCACTTTCCTGGCCTAGGCTAGACGAAGATAACTGAGCGTGTGTATGTGTGTGTGTGCGTGACTACGACGCTTTCGCTCGTTAACAATTGAAATAGAAGCAGTTGCTATTGTTGTTGCTGCCGCTGCTGCTGCTGCTGCTGCTGCTTCTCAAGTTCAACACAAGCTGTGCGACGGCGTGCAAAGATCACGACACGACTTGGTTTGCGTTGCGTTAAAGAAAGTTTTTACAGTAGCTTCGAGCGACGCCTGTGCAAGAGAACTGCTGCAGGCTGCCAGCTGTGGCAGAGGCTCAAGCTTTAGCTGGCGTCGACGTCGACGCTGGCGTTGCGGCCAAAGCTCAAATTAACGGTTATCACGTCTTGCGGTTAGCGTTTGGCTCATTTGGATTTAGCACCTGGGCCCTTTTATGAGTTAAATTCGCTGCCTATTAAACATTAAGCGACGCTTTGCGGTTTTTTTTTTCTTTTACGCCGCAATTACGCAAAAGCTCTAGATAATCTGGTAGCTCGTCTCGGTTTGACCTCTCGCACAATGTAGCATAATTTCTTTTTTATCGCCCTGCCTTTTAGTTGTTTTGGTTTTTTTTTTTCGTTTTTGCACGTTGCTTTAATTCGATTTCAATTACGACTGTGCCTTTTGAAGTTTACCACAGTTACCGTTTGTTCAGTCAGTTGTTCGTTCGTTCGTTCTGCGGTTGCCTTCTGCCTTCTGCCTGGCTTTATTCTCTTTGCTTTTCTTTTTATTATTATTGTATGCACACAAAATATCTTTTCATAGTCTTTTGGGGCGGGTACTCGAGTTCTTTTCAGTGCTTTGGCGGTAGTTCGTTACTCTTTTTTTTTTTTTGTTTCCCGTAAACCGTAACCGTTTGAATTTGATTTTGATGCGCGCTCGTTGAGTTTCGCATGCGAAGTGATCGCTGTGAATGTGCTTGTATGTATGTGTGGATGCTGTTGCGCGCGCTGCTGTCGACGTTGACGTTGACGTTACAGCGGCTGCATTACTTATTGCTGTTGCGTTTTCAATGAATGAACATGCACACACACACACACATGCGCACTTATGCTCACACACGCACACAGTCACACTCGAACGCGCGCTTTACTTTTTACACATTCATAAAAATTATAGGGTTTGATTGTTGTTGCTGCTGCCGCCTTTTGTTGCGGGCTCAACTGGGAGACGATTGCAGCTCCAGCTCCAGCTCCAATTTTGTTGGCGACAAAAAGTTGTTGCGCCGTACCGAACGACACGAGAGAAAGGTTTGAATGACACTCACACTCGAATTTGCAATGCCATTTATATGAGTGAAAGGCAGTCGCAGCGCAGCAGCTGCGCAGCTGGCGTTAGTCGGGCGCCGCACAGTGGGGAACATGAAATATGAAAGATGCTTACAAAAATACATTTTTTCCCATTTATTCGTTAAAGGGTGTTATTGATTACAAGTGTTATATTTACTGATTATTTAAACAGCTTATTGATAATTAATGTACTTATAATTAATATTCCAAATTGAGTACTTTATTGAATTTATATATTTTGTGCATATTATAACTTAGTTTATTTAATTACACTACAAATGTAGACAGTTAATTTAATTTAGATTAATTTAAAAACCCTTATGGATACAGCCATGGCAAACAGGAAGTTTTCCCATGACCGTCTATTGTGAGCTATTTGCTGCTAGCTGGTCACACTGTGCGCCAATGCAACGTCTTCGCAGTCGGCAGTGTGTGGGTCTTTGTTAGCATCGGTTTTGGTTGCGCTTAGCCATTGATTAAATGGAGTTGTCGGTATTTAAAATAACAACTTGGTCATGTTGTCTGCAACCTAATCGGTTTTGCGTACAAATTTAATTTGCCAAAAGTGGCAGCAAAATGCAACCAAAATGGCGAACCGCATTTGAAATTATAACACACACATAGCATAGGCAAGATCTGGTGGGCGGGCGGTGGAGGTAGGGGGTTGCTCGGTTCGTCGCCGTAGAAAGTGCGCACAGCCGCACAGTTTGAAGTTGGAGTCGATGCCGATGCCGATGCCGCAGACGTTGCTAGCTGGAAGCTGTGTTTATAGACTTGTCGTCTTTTAAGCCATAAATTTTACGCCTGAGTGGCGTTGCGAATAAGGGTCACACACACACACACACGCACGCACACACATACATACATACATACATGTATAGCAATAGATACTGAAGCTTGCACATGAGCTTTGGCAGAGAGTCGCGTGCATAAAGAAAATTTTGTGATGCAGCCGGCAGCTACCGCCTCCGCCGCCGCTGCCGCCGTCGACGTCGCTGCTTAACGGCAAAAAAGAGGTCAGTAAGTGAATGTTTACAGTTAGTTTTTGGGCAAGCAGACATGTAAGCGGCAAAGTGCATTTGACAGCCGTGACACAGCAGCCACGGCCGCCCAGAACTAATGCTGCGGACCACCACTTTAAAAATTAATTAAAAGAAAGCCTGGCGTCTAACGCTGGTAAAAACCTTTGGCAGCATTGCAATTTCTTTTTGGCCATAACCAAGATTTGATGTTGTCGTCGTCGTGGTCGTTGCTGTGGTTTTGGTTTTGGCTGTGCCTGCCAATAAAAATGGAAAGTGAAAATTGTAGCTGCACTGCCAATGCATATTAAAAACAACAACAACAACAACAACAGCAACAACAAAGTGTAATAATAAAAAAGATAGAAGCAAACGCAGCAGCATGGCAATAACAACGGCCACGCACCTGTTCTGCAGGTCGTGCGAGTTTTCTACGCTCTAATCACAGACTTGCAGCGCATAGAAACAGCCCGAGTATTATATAAAAGTGATGATAGTGCTAGCCGTGCAGTAAAAGCGGAAATTATATGGCAAAATGGCAAAATCAAAAGTGGTTGTTGTGAATTGCACTTGTGAAAATGCCAATTTTGATTTGATGAGCCACTAACATGCACCGTTATTTGCTGATTTTCTCCGTTTCTAGTTTTTACCAATGTTATGCTAATTTTTGGTACAAATATATGCACAGCTCGTTATCGTACTTTTGAAAAGTAACAGTTCACGCACTGCAGTCTGCAATTTTGTGGGGCAACACTGGCAACACCAATTTGTGCTGCACACCGATTTTGCAGCACTGCCAGCAGAGTGGCTGTACACGCTTATCGATATTTAGCGTAATCATCGATAGTTCTGTTTAACATCGCTACTCACACACACACGGGCACACACATGTACGCACACAGCCACACTCATTGAAAAAGTCGGAGAATTGTGTGGGAAAAAAAATCGTCTATAACTAACTACGAAACGCGCAAATTGTGCAAATGCGGATGCCCAGTAGCAAAGGCAAAGTGAACGTTTGATAATTGCGGGTGCGCTGGCTGTTTGGGCAGCTGAAAATTCATGTTGTCGCTGTAACGCAGCGCAGTGAGTGTATGTGTGTGCATGTGCGTGTGTGTGTGTGAAGAGTGAAACCTACAACTTTACTCCCCAAACCAACAGCCACACCAACAACAACAACAACAACGACAACAACAACAGCAGCAGCAGCGCAGCAGTGTTGAGAGAAAAGATGGCGACGAGTCGCACCAGTCGCATACAATCACAACCAAAAATTTTTCCTTCAATCTTTTCCAAATTACATGGAGCCATCTCAGAGGCATGCGTCTCACAGCGCCTGTCGACGGACAAGAAGACGCTGGAGAAAACGTGGAAACTGATGGACAAGGTGGTCAAATTGTGTCAACAGCCGAAAATGAATTTAAAAAACAGTCCACCCTTCATATTGGACATACTGCCCGACACGTATCAGCGTTTGCGTTTAATATATTCCAAAAACGAGGATCAAATGCATCTGCTGCACGCCAACGAGCACTTCAATGTCTTCATCAATAATCTAATGCGTAAATGCAAACAGGCCATCAAATTGTTCAAGGAGGGCAAAGAGAAAATGTTCGATGAGAACTCACATTATCGCCGTAACTTGACCAAACTTAGTTTGGTCTTCTCGCACATGCTCAGCGAGCTGAAAGCCATCTTTCCCAATGGTGTCTTTGCGGGCGATCAGTTTCGAATCACCAAGGCGGATGCTGCCGATTTCTGGAAGAGTAACTTTGGCAACAGGTAAGGCGCACTCGTTAATCCCAACCAACAGACAGTAATAGTAGTATACAATTATTTGTAGTACATTGGTGCCTTGGAAAATATTCCGTCAGGAGCTAAATAAGGTGCATCCGATATCGTCAGGACTGGAGGCGATGGCCCTGAAAACGACCATAGATCTGACGTGCAATGATTATATATCGAATTTTGAATTCGATGTATTCACGCGTCTATTTCAGCCGTGGGTGACATTGTTGCGCAACTGGCAAATCCTGGCCGTCACCCATCCCGGCTATGTGGCCTTTCTCACCTACGATGAGGTGAAGGCGCGCCTGCAGCGCTACATACACAAGGCAGGCAGCTATGTATTTCGTTTATCCTGCACACGCCTCGGCCAATGGGCCATTGGCTACGTGACGGCAGATGGCGAAATATTGCAAACAATACCGCAAAACAAATCGCTGTGCCAGGCGCTGCTCGATGGGCATCGGTAAGGACCATGATATTCGGCTAAAATGCTGCCTAAAGTTAAATGTGCTTCTGTATTGGTAACCGCATGCACTTGTATTAGTGAGCTTTAAGGCTAGCATCGCATGCATTTGCGTGTGCCTCATCCATGTTAACTTTTAAACTTATTGTAATTGTAATTGTACTTGTTTTCTCTCCGCCTTTAGCGAGGGCTTTTATTTATATCCCGATGGCCAGGCCTACAATCCGGATCTGTCGTCCGCTGTGCAAAGTCCAACCGAGGATCATATAACGGTCACACAAGAGCAATACGAGCTGTACTGTGAAATGGGTAAGTTTGCATTGACACGCTGCCCGTTAACGACACATAAGTAATACCTTTTCACGCACTTGCAGGCAGCACCTTTCAGCTATGCAAAATCTGCGCAGAGAACGATAAGGATATACGCATCGAGCCCTGCGGTCATTTGCTGTGCACGCCCTGTCTCACCGCCTGGCAGGTGGACTCGGAGGGACAGGTAAGCGGAGCGTGCAATATTAATCATAAAAAAAAAACTCAATACTAATACACTTAATGCTGCAGGGCTGCCCGTTTTGTCGTGCAGAGATCAAGGGCACCGAACAGATCGTTGTGGATGCCTTCGATCCGCGCAAACAGCACAATCGGAATGCAACGAATGGACGACAACTGCAGCAGGACGATGACGATACAGAGGTATAGTTTAGTGCAGCGCTTATCAAAATAAAGCCTTTTGACGCCTGCCCCGCGCTGCCCGCCTGTGCTGCCTCTCTCTTATACATATAATCTTATTACGTTTACATATATATATATATATATTTATATATCAAGTTTGGTTCGTTTATATATATATATACATTTATATATATATATATATATATAGATAGACGTTCTACTCTATATTAAGTTTAATGTTTAGCGATTTTGATTTAAATTATTAGCTACAATTTTCATTGCAACTAACAGCAGTGCGCACACAAGACGACGAGCAGCAAATCCAATTGTAGAGTAGTCTTTAATATATATATATATATGATGCATATGCTTGTTGTATGTATTTATTTATTTATGTACGTATGTATGTATTCATGCGCGCTGAGCGGAAGTTACTCATCAGCGTATCGTTTTTTTTGTTTTGTTTTTATCAACGCTCGCTTCTATCAGTTTTGTCTGCGCACTCTGTTTCGTTGTTTTGTTTCGTTTTGTTCATTGCTTCTTTCCCTGTTTCTTCTTTCATTCATACGCTCGCTCGCCTCTGTTTATGATTCATTTGAATAGTTTGTGTTATTATCATCAGATGCGCGTAGTACATGCAACAATTCTCGATTCTCAAAACTTGAAAACCTATATAAATATTTGTATGGCCCGCTTTTAAACTGTTGTAAATACCTAGTTATTAGTGTCATCTTTTTTATTGTATTACACAAGCAAAAAACAAAAAAATACCCTGTATTTGAAACACGTACCCCCCCTCTTCCTTTCATATGAAAACAAAAAACGTATGGTATTTTTTTTTAGTTTATGATTTGATACTTCCAAAGATATGTTTAGTTCATGATTTATAACATTTTGTGTTTGTTTTAGTTTTGCAAATCGGTTTTCATTTAGATTTATATATATATACATACATATATGACATATAGATATATGTATTTGTGTTTTCTAAGACTGTAATTTATTAATAATAATATTTAAAAAACAAAAAACAAAGGCTACAAAAAAGGCATATTGTATGTATAATCAACATTAACATAATTATTATTATAATTATTATTTTATTATTGTAGTTAGCTAGCCCTAAACTGTCACAAGCCTAGGCCAGAATTTATGTAAAACATTTAAAGTATTAGCAAAAAAAAAAAAAAACAAATTAACATTTAAAAACATTGTGTATGTGTGTGTGTGTGTGTGTGTGTGTGTGTTTGTGCTTTCGTTTTTATCATTCGTTATTTAAATCTTTCGGCTCGGCTCGTTTCCTTAACATAGGCCTCAGCATACATCGACTTAGTTTATTTCAATTAATAATTAATAATTATTTATGTTTTAATTGTAATACAATGCAATTTAAAAAAATATATATATATTTTTTATATATATATATACATGCAAGTGCATAAAGTTTTTAGCGTTAAATTTAAACTTTTGATTTCCTTAATAAGTTCTTAAATATGCCTAATTCTAAAATGAACAAGAAAAACTCTGAACAGCAAAAAAAACAAAAAAAAAAAATATATAATATATATGTGTATAAATATTTATAAATATTGGTTTTAATTGTTTTTGGCGTGCTGCTACGTTAATTATTTTTTGATTTTTTTTTTTTTGAATAGTTTTATGTTTATATATTTTTTTGTCTACAGTTATGTTGTTGCGTTGTTGTTGTTGTTGTTGTTGCTGTTCTTGCTCCTTTTCTTTGATCCTTGTTGTTGTGCATGTCCAGCAAAACTTTTGACTTGCCTCCTTGTTGCTCTAGGGGCATGCGCCTATTTAACCAAATCCCAACAAAAAAAAAAAAAACAAAAACTATCAAACGACAAGCCCTGTTCTCAACTGACCAGATACTCCACATCCTGCAGGATATGGGCGACTTCAATATAGCCACCTCGTCGTTGCACGCGCTCAGCACCTCGGCCGCGTCACAGTCCTCCATGGAGAAGCATAGTCCGCACACCTCGCCGCGCCTGGGCAGACGCAGCACCACGCCCAGCCTGATGGCGGTGCAAAACGATCTCTATGCCGGCGGCACGCCAGCGCTCAGCCTGCCCAGCGGCAGCAGCAGCTGCAGCAGCAGCATCAGCGGCGGCTCCTCCTCCACAACAAACTGCAACCAGCAGCAGCCGCAGCCCTCGGCGCCGCCTGCCGCAACGGTCATCAGCAATGGCAGCGGCAGCAGCAACAACACCAGCAGCAGCAGCAGCAACAGCAGCTCCACACAGAAGACAACAAATCGGATGAGCGCACCGTTGATTGGCTCCAGTGTGATCAACTCGACCTATGGCCAGAAGTTGCCCAGCAAAACGGACAACGGCTCGGCCGGCGATACGGCCTCCATCAGCTCCTATGCCATACTACAGAATCTGCAGGATGGCGCCAGCTCCAGCGCAACAGCAGCAGCAGCAGCAGCAGCAGCTGGTGGAGGAGGAGGAGGAGGAGCTGCTGCTGTGGCACCGCCGCTGCCGCCGCGCAAATCACCCGGCATGGAGACACCCGTCAAGCCAAACAGCGCAACACCCTCGAGCAGCAAGAGCATCGACAACATCCAGTGCAGCCTGGACAATGTGCCGCCACAGACAACGGCGCCGCCCATACCGCCGCATGTGAGCAGCAGCGTCGACACCTTGGCCGAGGATTTGATGCGACAGCAGCGCATTGCAAGCAGCACCACGTCGCCGGTGCTGTCGCTGTTGGACGAGATGATGGTCGAGGTGGGACCGGCGGAGACCATCAGCGGTGTCATCGACACACGTCCGCTGGAGGCGCGCGGCACGCTGCCTGCCAACAACAGCAGCAGCAGCAACAACAACAACAACAACAACAACAGCGGCAGCAGCACCAGCAGCAGCAGTGGCTGCAGCGGCGTCCAGGATGCGGCCAGCTCGCACTATACGCAACTGTGCACCACGACGACCAGTGCGGCGGCTCTGGCGGCAGCCGCTGCGCTGGCCAATGGCAAGAAGATGACACTGAAGCAGCCAACGCCAGCTGGCCAACAGCCGCTGCTCTATGCGAACGTGACGATCAATCAAAAAGACTGTGCCGGCACTGTGCCCTACGAGAATATCAATCTGGAGTATATAGCGCGCCTGATGAACGCCGGCTACTCCAAGGAGAATGCCATTACGGCGCTGGGCATCTCGCGCAACAACATCGAAATGGCTGGCGATATATTGCGTGAGTTTGTCTCCAAGAATAGCGCCTAGAGTGCCACGCTACCGCACCCGCCCCGCCCCCAAAAACACAGTGTGATGCCCGCCCGGAGGAGCAGCGATAGCAACTGTCGCCTTGTTGAGTATGATAACGAAGAAGAAGAAGTAGATGATGATGATGATGATATGATCCCAGAACAAAGCAAAAGGCAGCTGATAAATCATAAGCATAATTTGAAGCTCTCTAATTACGCGCTCTCTCTCTCTCTCTCTCTCTCAATCTATATAAATATTTATATATATCTATATATATATATGACTTTCTCCAACTCGCTTTAAGAGCACCACGCCCACTCCCTCCCCAAACACACACACACACACCTCATCTAGATTAAAGCTAAGTTAGCAGCCCAATAAACACACACACACACACACGCACAACCATTTTTGGCGTAGCCAGCACAAGCAATTAGGCGTAAAAAATTCGTTCGTTCTCTTTAAAGAAAATATTTAATATATAAAAAAAAAATATATATATATATATATATATTTGAAAAATCGTCAAATTCTCACACTATTTAAAGCAAACAAATTAAGCACAGCCCATTTATATCAAATATATAGCTATATAAACACGTATATTAAGACGTATTTACTTCCTATTAAGAAACAAAAAAACAAAAACAAAAAACAAAAAGCGAATTAAAATCAAAAAGCGCAGGAGAAAAATTCTTAAAGTAACAAATAATTGCCCACCCCGAATAAATTAAAAATTTATATTATGCTCTCTTACCAAATAAAAGACAACAACCATTAACACCCCAACACACACACACCCACACACACACGCACACACACACGCACACACACACACAGGCTCATAGCGCCCCAAAGGGGAAAAGCAAACAATTTTAATTGGTGCATCGGCAATCATAAGAAAACTACACACAGAAATCGTTCCAAAATTCATGCCGCACACACATTATTATAAAATGCCTTTGATGCCAATTCAGTGCATTGGCCCTGAGTTTCCTTAACCGCAATTTAGCAATATTAACTAAAACAAAGAATACAAAAAAAAAAAATAAATAAAACACCAAAGCAAATCCGATGCACTATCAAAGTTTACCTCGATTTTTTATACAAAACTCAATGTTTTTTGTAATAGTATATTTGTAAGTTTATGCAATTAAAATACCGGTGCAGAAATTCGTTTTAAAAAAAAAAAATAAAATATAAAATAAATGAGAAAAATAAGAAAACAGCAAAGAGAGAGAAAATCAAGGAATACCCAAGTTTGTATTACGGATAAATCATTTTTACAGAATTTATATATATATATATATATATTAATCGGTTTTTTAATTCGTCAGAAAAGTTCTTAACCCTACACGCAATCTTTTGACATTTAGTATATCTACTAAAACTAAGCGATATTACGATATATATATATATATTAATATATATATAGGCGATATAATCATGCGTAAACGAAAGCAAAGGCATAGAAAAAAACAAAAACAAAAACTAAAAACAAACAAATCGAAAATCAATGCAATATTCACTATAAACAAATCAATGCAAGCGTAAACTTATAAGTAAATTATAATTAATAAATTACATAACCTCAAGCGAAACGAATAAACAAAACACTATTTATGAAATATTTGAATTTTAAAAGAACATCTGCGTTAAAACAACAATTCAAATCAACAAAATAGCATAGAAAGAAAAAATAATAACAAATAGGAGTCAACAGTCAATAAAAATTAAAAAATTAAAATAAAGCAAATCGAGTTTTAAGGAGCGTCAAAATGCGATACCATACCATAGTCATGTCATGTAACCCGGAAATCTTAAGCAGATATAAATTATTCTTATAAATAAATATATATATATATAAAAAAAAAAAAAACAAACAAAAAGAAACCAAAAACAAAAACAAACTTATTGTTTTTTGTTTTCTCAAGCTTAAATATTGTTTCCTTCAAGAAATTGCCCGGCGTTGTGCGAGCCCCGCTAGCAGTTCCTCTGTAGCTTATCTAATTTTCTCCAATTTACTTATCTAATTTTCTATTCTGATATCCCAGTTAAACACAATTTTGTTTACCTTTATTGAAATATGTATTTATTTTTTTTTTATTATTTGACTTATATAGTTTGCGTTTTTTTTTTTTAATTTTTATTTTTTTTTGTTTTTCTTTCGTATTCAAGCACATATGTATTTGTTTTTTTTTTTGTTGCATTTTTTTTTGTGGTTGTGTATGTTTTACGATTTTTTTATGTTTTATATTTTATAAATAAGGATTAGTTGCTGTTCTGTTTTGTGTCTGTGCTGTTCATTTCATTGCATTGCATAAATCTCTAAACGCCTGCAGTTAACCTATTGCGGCATATCAGACGATATATATATATATATATACCATATATATATATATACATATATATAATAGCGTTATACATATTTAAAGTTACTATTTAAATCTTGCTTGTTCATTTTGTTGTGTTGCTTAGTGTTTGTTTTGTTGTTGTTGTTGTAGTTGTATATATGTATAACATGGCTATAGTAGGACGTACTGATCCCAAATTTGTTGTTAGCTTGTTAAATGGTTTTCGTTTTTTTTTTTTGTTTTTTGTTTTTTTTTTTTTGTTTTAGTAATTGAAATTCATAATTTTGTTTCACAATATTTGCTCTTTGTTTCCGACACGATCTCTTTGTATTTTTTTTTTTGTGTTTTTTGTTTTATGTTTTTATATTTTGTTTTACTATATATATATACTTTAATATTTAAAAATACATTTTTAAAAATTAATTTTTGTTATCTTTCATTAAATGGTTTCAACAGATTTGGCGCAGCAAATTACATTTGCTCTTCTTCTACATCCTCACACAAGACTTTTAGTTATGTTTTTATTTTGTTTTTAATAATTAATATTATTTTCTTGCTTTCTGTTTTTTGTTTTTTTGTGTGTTAGTTACAAAGTTCGATTTCTAAATATTGTTTTTGTTTTGGTTTTTTTTTTTTATAAATAATAAATATGTTTCGTATATGTAAGATGTATATGCATGTATGTATGTATGTATGTATGTATTTTGTATAAGTTAATGCAACCCTTTGAATGCAGCAAAAAAATTCGTGAAACAACAACATACACAGATAATATATATCTATACTCGATACTCGATAGAGTGTTTTGGTGTTGAAATGTTACAAACGAAATTAAGACTTTGTTTGCTATAAATACTTCATACTTTCATTTTCCACTTGTTGTATACAATCATCGTAATAAATATATATTTGCCAGTTTAACAGTAAAGACTTCAAAGAAGCTAAGAAAGAACAGTTTGCGAGAATAATTAGAATAGAGTTAGAGAATAGAGCATATATAATAAGTCGAGAAAAGAAATAACTATCTACGCATCTATGGCATATAGTGTTTGTTTTGTTTGTTTGTTTTTCATTTTGTTATTTGTTTGTGTAATGCACATATGCAAGGATTTCGTTGCCATTATACAATAATTGTTTACTTTGTTTTATGTATCTCTTAATATGTTATAGATTTCATTTTATATATGCTAAAATTAAATTAAAGCAAAACTAGTTGAAAAATAGTATACGTATACACACAATTTGGTTTCATCTCTCAGACACTTGAATTTCAGTTTTAAGCAGCGCACAACTTCAATATAACAAAAAAAAGAATACAGACTGCATTTGATTACAATTAGGAGTTTAGGGCCCTGGTTTAATGTTTAATGCGTAAGTTTACGTAAAATTTCGTTTAGTTTTAGTTGTTTTTTTTTTTGTAATATTTTCTTATTATTTTTCTTTTTCGTTTTATATATATATATATATCAGACACGTAGAAATTGTTTTGGAGTTGCCGTTTAGTATTCATCATAATTATACATATATATGTATGTGGTATGCCATATGTTTTGCTATCAATTATTATTATCGTTTCAAATAGTGTTTTGCTTCTAAGTTAATATACTTAATAAATGTATGCTTGTTTGTATTCATTGATAATATGGTTGTTAAGAGACAAGTTCACAATGTAGTTCTGTAGTTGCGTAATTGTTGTTAATTTATATTTGCAGTTCCTGTGCCATCCTTGTGTATGGTAAGCCTTGTTTATGTTGTAGCGTACAAGAATATATATATAGATATATATGGTTGCATGTGTGTGTGTGTGTGTGTGTGCATTGTCTTTAATTTGCATCAAATATCTGATTTGGAATTACTCCATAATGGCGCCTGTAAGCAATAAGATTATATATATATATTTGAATACACGTTTTAATTAGTTAATTTGTGTATTAACGCACCTGGAATGCGTGGATGGCGCGCGAGTATAGAGAAGCCCTTGCCCTGCGGCCCCTTGGGTGCGCGTATCAATATCAAACGCGGCACACCGTCATCGCCATTGAGCTTAAGGCGCGAGATCAGACGATCGGGACGATCGTTTATTTTTAAAACATTGCAAGCCGAAGATTTGCCATTGCGCTGTGAAGAGTAATTAAATGTAAAATGTACAATTAAATAAAGTGACAAGTTTGGGCAGAACATTCAGCTGTTACCCACCTGATTGGTAACCACGGAGAACTCGACGGTATCGCCAGGATGCAGAGCCACCGTATTGCCCTGTACCTCGGACATGTGAAAGAATAGCTTCTTGCCGTCTTCGACCTCGAAATTGAGAAAACCAAATTGACCCTTGATGGAGTCAACAGTTGCACGTTTCTTTTGCCGCACCGCATTCACCTCGGCCGCCCGGCCGCTCTCATCGATGCGAAAACTAACCAGATCGCCCTTCTGCAACAGATCGCGCTTATTCACCAAGCTGGTGATGCCGAATTCATGCTGTGAAATGATTGTGGTGCGCTGCTCATCGAGTATCTCAATTAGACCAGCATATTCCTGCTGGTCCGGATTGATGCAGCGCAACGGACGCGCCACAACGCCATTGTGCACCGTCTCCAGCACCGCCGGCTGCGGTATTGAGTTCTTTGGCAAAGTGCGCACATTCTCAGCGGGCAAGCAATTGCCCGAAACGGAGGTGTTGCCATTGGGGGCCAAAGTATACTCGACCTCCTGACCCAGCTCAAGCCAATTGGGATTGCCCTGATAGTTGCTAAAGTGAAAGAATACCTCCTCATCGTGCGACAGCGTCTCGATGAAGCCAAAATTCTCCTTGATGACGGCTATAAAACCACGATACAACTGCCCGCCAGCGGCCTCAGCATTCGCATGATTATTATTCTCCAGTTTAAAGTCCTCGATATGGGGCGTTGAAATCTGCTGAGTGGTGGCATTACTGCCCACGCTGCTGTTGCTGCTGCTGCCGCCGCCAGGGCTGCCGTGCATTATATAACCATTTTGCATGGAGCTGGCATTCGTGCCGATGCCATTCGAGATCAACACTTGATCGTTCTGATTTAGATTGGCAACTGGTTGTGGTTGTTGTTGTTGTTGTTGAGCAGCTGTTTGCTGGCTTAAAAGTTGTTGTTGTTGTTGTTGCTGCGCCTGTTGTTGTTGTTGTTGCTGTTGCAGCGATACTTGCTGCACATTGACAGCTATAAATTCCTTGTTACGTTTAACCTGCGAAAAGGGCAGCAGGTTACAAGATTAGATTTTGTTAAGAATAGAGCGCTGTCTTCTGACTGCCGAAACTTCAATTCTCAATTCAATTTGTGGTAAGGAGTTTCGGATCAAATAGATCAGTCTCCTGTCTGCCTTTCTGTCTGTCACTTTTCTGTCCGTCTATGTGTTTGTCTGTCTGTCTGTGTTCTTGTCTGTCTGTCTTCTTATCTGTTTGCCGTCTTCCCGTCTGTCTGTTTTCTTGTCTGCCTGTCTGTCTGTCTGCCTGTACGTCTCTCTGTTTGTCTGCCTCTCTGATAGCTACACATACAACTTTTATTGCTTGCAACTGTAACCCACCATGTAAATATCGAAGCGCACGCGCTCGCCAACCCTTGGTGGTTTTTCGCAGTCTTTAAGAAAATACATAATAGTCTTTTTAACATCGCCATGCTCGTAGGTGATGACGCCACCCTCGAAGCGATCCTGAGATTTAATGGGACTCTTGGGCGCCTCGCGTGTCACGGTGCCTGCAACAATCGATTACCAAGATTAGTATTAAGAATTCTTTGAATGTATTTAAGCTTACCCTCAATGTTGTTGGCCATTAGAGTTTCAAATTGCACAGTATTGGGCGGCAAATGTTTAATGCGTATGGCCTGCAGACGCGAGTTGTTATAGGCCAAGCCGGGCTCCTGAATGACAGTAAACTCCACCTCATCATTGACATCGATTTCACGGCTCTGCGGTGAGAGAAAATAGGCAGAATATTATAGAAAATACCACCAGATTGCATGGGCTAACTAACCGTATCGAGAACCTCTGTAAAGTGGAAAAACAAACGCACTTGACGCTCCACGCAGCGCAAGAATCCAAAGCCCTCCTTCAGTGAGGCAATTGTGCCCTGCTCACGCTTCTCGCCGGACACCTTGAATGTCTCGTCCAGCAGCGCTATGGAGGTGGCACGCTGCAGCTGATCCCGCCGATCGGTGGCCAATAGGAATTGCACCCAATCGCCGTGCCGTAAAGTAAAATCACCCTTCTGGTCTTTGTCGCCAAAAGGCACCTCCACCTCGGAGTAGTCGGGTGCCCGATAACGTATGCGTCCCGGCAACGGATCATTGTTCTGACGCACCGCATTGTTGCGATCAAGCGATTTGAGCACTTGGCCCTTGTAAATGGTGCTATCGACATCCTCGAAGATGACCGATCCGGGTGGTAAACGCGTTATGTTGCAGGCAAACTCCCGGCCCTGCGGAGGCACAGAGGCGGACTGCTATTGTTAGTGTGATATGAAGTACTTGATGGTAATTATCAGCTCTACTTACACTCCGCGTTTGTATGGTAAACTCAACATCGTCGCCGGGTCGCAGCTCGACATTGCCCTCGGCCTCGGAGAAATGAAAGAAAATCTCTTTAACCACATCGGCGCGTTCAATAAAACCAAAAGATTCCTTCATCGAGCAGACAACGCCGCGATACTTAACAGGCTGGGCCGGATTCTCCAGGCGTATATGGCAGGCGCCCAGGTTGCCTCTGTAAGATTGAGTATAACAGATATAATTATATATAGATTATAGGGTATAGTTTCTCTCGCACCTTTGGTTCGTAGCGATCTGAAAGCTGACCTTGTCGCCAGCACGCAAATTGACATTGCCCTCGACATCGTCTTTGGTATAGGGTAAAAAGAAGCATTCGCCGCGATTCTCATAGCTAATGCGACCGGTTGTCTCACTGGAGCTGAGCACATTGTTGGCACTATCCGTGCGCAGCTCGGTGGTGACAGTGCCGGTGACCCGCTCCTCGGAGAGCACAACCTCGGGTGCTATTTTCGAGACTTGACTAGCAATTGGTTTGCCGGTGCGCCGGTCATAGGTCATCTCAAACTCGACGGGATCCCCAATTTTCAGATGATCAATATTGCCGCTGAACTGCGAGAAATGAAAGAAAAGACGCGCCTGCCGCTCGCAGCACTGAATAAAGCCATACGAATGCTGCCCAAAAGAGGAGAGAAATTCATGATTAAAATTGTATTATTTTTTTTTTTTTTTTTGCGAAATGTATAATTAACAGATATTACTGCTCGACTAAAGACCCACCAGTAGCTTCTCAATGATGCCAGTTTCGCGCGTGGTCTGATTTGGATCGTTGGCACCGGATGCTGTGGCCGATGAGTTGCTCGACTGCGAGCCGAAAATGGACGATGAGCTGCCGGCGCCGTTGTTCAGCACGCTGTTTGACTGAAAGACGCCAATTTGTGGCGGAGTTTGGATGATATCGTTGACCTCATTTGCATCAAACATGCCAATGCTGGGATGTTGCTGCTGCTGCTGCTGCTGTTGTTGTTGCTGCTGCTGTTGATGCTGCTGCTGTTGATGCTGATGCTGATGATGTTGCTGCTGCTGCTGATGATGTTGCTGCTGTTGTTGCATATGTTGTTGCTGCTGCTGCTGCTGATGATGATGCATGCTTTGCTGCTGCGGCGGCTGAGCCATGGCCAATTGCACGGCCGCAGCTGGCGGTCCATGCGACTGCGGCTGCAGACCCAACGTGGTGGAGTCCAGCGTAAAGGTTCCAATGGTCGGAAAAGTTGTAGGTATGTTCAAGTTCCGTATGGCAGTCATGTCGAAGCACTGCAAATTATCGTAGATTTCTGCAAGACGTAGAGAATGGGAAAAAGAAAATGAGTTCCACTTGCCATTGAAAGCTGATCAGACATTATAATTGCCTTTTGCGAGGCTAGAAAACAATTACAATTAACATATTCTGTTACTCTATTTACATGAATTGCATATGTAAATAACAGTGCGCTTTTAATGTTAGTATGTAAATGCCTTTCAACAGGCTAGATAACATGCAACATTTACTTAACATGTTCTGCTACTGACTCTTTACATGATTTAATAATGTAAATAACAGTGCGCTTTTGACATGTTTAAGTTAAGCCCTGTTACATGTTTAACAGGAGTTTAACAGAAGATCTGCTTACATTTCCTTAATATGAGTTGTTTTAATAGCTTGACACCTCATGTTAACAGAAAAAAGCTCGCAATTAATATATATTTATATAATTTAGGTAGTTAGATGGTGTTATTAAAGGCATGTTAACTTAACATTTTAGTAAAAGCATTTAAGGACAATTTGTTTAGTGAAAGCACGCCAGCTGCTTAACATATTGCTTACAGATTCTTGGTTATGTTGATCTTACCTTCGCCAGTGCGATATCCTTTGGATTGCGTATTCATGTTGTTAATTGCTTTTGCTTGTTTGGATGTTATAAGAAAATGCTGATAGCGACTAGCACAAGGAGACTGGTTGTTGTTGTTGTTGGTGTTGTGATTGTATTAATTGGTGTTGTTGATGATCGATCGATGACGAGAATGTTGAATGATTTTAAAGAGAGCGAGCGTGTTTTTTTTTTTTTTTGGAGCTGTTCAAAAATTGAACTGCATCCGGTTTTTTTTAATATTTTTTTTTTGGAATTATTTATAATTGTTATTATTAATTATTTGCTTTATGTTAATAAATTTATTTTGTTTTTTTTTTTTTATTCTTTCGATTTTTTGTGTAATTTTTTGTATATCAAAGAGAAAAAAACTAAGCAATAAATACGTATTTGTTGTGTATATATATTTTGGCTAAACACTGGCACAAGAGGCACTGAAATTCCTTGTCTTCGAAGTTAATAAAGAAACAATCATTTGTTGTTGTTGTTGCTGTTGTTGTGGGTGGTCAACTTTCCTTCGAGTTTGTATTTATGTATTTGGCCCGAAGAAACGTATGTAAAAAATGCCGTTAAATATAATGTAATGAACAGTTTGAATTTGTATTAATTATTGTTGTTGTTAGTTGAAGTTGCGGCTGTTTTGTGTTTTTAAAAAAAATATATTCGTATTCTGATGAAAATGCATTTGCTGCTGTAGCTTGCCGTTGGTTGTTGTTGTTGTTGTAGTTAGATGAATAAACATTTATTTATTTATTTTTTTTTTACTATTTATTGCGATTTGTTCATGTGTTCGAGTTTTAAGTTGTTTGTTTTTTTTTTGTTTTTAGTTTTACTAGAAAAATACACTGGGGCGCTTTACGGAATACTTTGTTGTTGTTGTTGTTGTTTTGCTTTTAATAAGTTTAGAGCAGTTATTTGATATATTTATTAATTTAGATGATTTGATTTTTGTTTGTTTGAGGGGTTTTTGGAGGGGTTGTGGTTAATATGTTTGCTTTTTTGTTTTTACTATAATATACATTTATATAATATATAATATATTTTTGTAGGCAATCGTTGTGGTATTTAGGAAGTATTAGTGATTTATTTTTATTTTGTTTTTTTTTTTTTTTTTTGTAAATTTACTTTTTGCTTTGTTTAGCTTGTTACAGCTTATTGCTCTCTCGCTCTCGCTCTCTCACTCTCTGCGAACTGCTGCGCCGCTCTGGGGCCTGCCTGCCACGGGCTGCAAGACGTTGCGGGTGTGTGTGTGCGTGTGTGAGTGTGTTGGGGGAGGGGAATACGAAGTGGAGGGGGCGGCGGTGGCGGCTTCTAGTGTTGATCCGTTATTCCGTTATTTCGCTGTACGTTGTTGCTGTAGTTGCTATTACTTTTCGGTTACACGTTTTGTATGTTGTTTATTGCTGTTTCGTTTACCGTTATTCACTATTTACCGTTATTTATAGTTTTATACATACATGCACATATATGCCTATATGTATATGCACACATATAAAGTTAGTTAGATACTCTTTAATTGTTGTTGGTTTGCCATTTACTATGTTGAACTTTAAGCCTAAGGTTTGTTTAATTATTTTTTTTTTTTTACTTTGTTTTTTTTTTTTAATATATATTTTGAATGCGCGTTTTGTTGAAAGTCTTTGTTTTAACCTAGGGTTGTTTTATTTTGCTTTTGCTTTTGCTTTTGTGTTTGTTGTATTTTTCACTTACGTTTTTTTTTTTTTTATTTCATTTGTTTTTTGCTTACGTTAAATTAAGCTTATTTACTTAAAGTTTATATAATATAATATATAATATACTATAGTATATGTATCGAAGTCCTTTAAGATATCACGAATTTGTTTCAATGTTTTTATCTTTTAATTTGCATTTGCTCTTATAAATAAAGTGTTTGTTGTCGTTTTTTTGTTTTTGTTTTTAGATGTTCGTTCTTCTTCTGCCTCCTTTTACTATTGTTAAAAATTACAGTTTTGTTTTTGTTTTTATTTAGTATTCATTTTTTTTTTTGTTTTTTTCATTAATGCTTAGAGATTTTTTGTTTTTTTTTTTTTATTTATATTTATAAATTTACAGTAATTATCACAGAGTTGTTAAATCTTTCTTTGAATTTGTTTTTTTCTTCTTTTTTTTTTTTGTTGTTTTGTTTTTGTTGTTGCTTTTAATCGTTATCGCATTTAGACTTTTAACATTTCTCACTAGGTACACTTATAAAAAAATTAAATGAAAACTATTTAAAAATAAAAAATAGTTTGTTATTAAAAATAAAAAAAAACTGTTTGGTTTTCGGGCACGAGGCCGCGCAGTTTTTTTTTCTGTTTTGTTTCCTTTTTTTTGCGTTTTCTTTTTATGGTTTTTGCTGGGCGTTGTTTAATTTCATTTATTTACAAATTTGTTTGTTTTATTGGCTAAGTTGCGGTATTTTTTTTCGTTTATTTTTTTAATTTTTTACTTTTTATTTTGTGTTACTCAGTTGTTTTTGTTGCTGGGGTCTTCATATTGTGTTTGCTTTTGTTGTTGTTGTAAAAGTTACTTAGGACTAATAGAATTCTTGTAGATTTTTGGTTTTAAATGTTTTTCTTTATTGTTACCGTTTTTAGTTGCTCGTTTTTTTATTTTACAGTTTTTAGTACATTTTTTTTTTTAGTTTTGTGTGTTTTGTTTTTTCTTTGCGGCACAATTGTTGCTTTATCGTTTGTTTGTTTGTTTTTTTTTTCTGTTCTTTTACAAGGCGGAACTTTCTAACGGTGACTCGCTCACGATCGCACCGTCACTCTCTCTCTGTTGCTCGCGCTCTCTCTCTCTCTCGCTCTGCTCTTCTTCTAGCGCTTTTGCACTTTTACACACGGCCGCCGCACGACAGGCGACAAAGTTGTCGTTTTTGTTTTTGGGCTTACGAACTATAATATTTGCTGTTTATTTTCTTTAAAAAATAATTTAAATTGATGTTGCGTTTAAATTAAATGTTTTTAATATGTTTAAATTAGTTGTTGTTGTTGTTTTTATTCTTCTTCTCTTTAACTCCCGGTTATTTTGTACTTTAAAACTTTAATTCAGTTGTTTGTTGGTAGTTGTTGTTGGTGTTGCTTTTGCTGTTTGTGTTTCTCTTCTGCGCTTGCTTTGTTCCTGTTGTTGTTGTTGTTGTTGTATTAGAGGCGGCGTTCTTCTTGTTTTTGTCTTAATTTTAAATAATTTTTAGCAAATTGAATTCACTTTGACTTAACAAAAATTCGTAATTAAATTAAAGCTTTCAGGGAAAAAAATGAGGAATTTTGGGATTGTTAAACGTGGTTTTTGTTGTTGTTGATTTTTCTTTTAGTGTTATTCGAGTTAGACGTCAACGTCAACGCCTCAGCGTCGCGTTTTAGCTGCTTTAGTTAGACAGTTTATGTTATTTGTAATTTGTTTTTTTTTTTATATTATTGTTTTTGTTTTAGTGCGTGCGTGTGTTTTTGAATTGTAATTGTATTTGTTAAGACCTCAACTCCGTTTTACTTCAGTTGATTTCTCTTTATAGCTTGGTTTTTTTTTGTTTTTGTTTTTTCTTTTTCTTTTTGTTGTTGCTTTGAGTATTGACGAGTTAATTTCACAGCGTTTGAATTTTGTTTGGTTTTTGTTGTTGGTTTTGAAAGTCTTCGTTTTAAGCTTGGCTTGTTTTGTTGTTGTTTTTATTTTTATTTATTTATTTTTTTTTTGCACAGATGCGCAGTCGCTATGTCGTCTCTCTCTCTCTCTCTCGCTCTGTCTCTCTCGCTTTCTATCTCGCTCACACCCGCTAACAGACTCTTGACTCTGTTGTGCGCCGCTCACCGCAGACGGCGACGTTTCGCTTTTGCTTTTTACAGTCTTTCTTCGCGTAAATTCTCGTCTTTTCGCAAATTTTGATTTTTGAAGTGTAGACTTTTTAGTGAGCTTTTCGGCATATAATTTTTGTAGAGTTTAAAGCGAATTTGCAAACGAAAACAAAGGAAATTTCAAAACTAAAAGTTTATGGCAGATGCCCCTCCGGTTATTAAACGCCTCTTAGACTTTTTGAGCTTTGTTGTAGTTGTTTGTTGTTGGTTTGTTTGTTTTGTTGGTATGTAACTTGGTTTTTTTTTTATTAGATGATTTATTATTATTTGCTTTTTGATTCGTTTTCGATGGTTTTTTTTTTATATTATTATTATTTTTATTCAGATTATGATGAAAGTGATGTCAAAACGGAGTTTTAGTTACAAAAGCTGCAATGAGAAGAAAGTTGAATAATTAGTACACACTTGCATACGTACATCTATTTATTTTTTTCTCTTTATTTAATAGAGCGCCCCCCTGTTGAGCGGCAGCCACCCAGTGAAATCTACACCAAAAAGTGTGCATTGTTGTTGTTGCTGCATTTTTATTGATTTTTAGTGTTGCAAACCGGAGACTCGTACAATTCGCACACACAAACACACACATACACACACACACACACATGCACACACTTTTCCATTCGCACACTAACACGAACAGAGCAGCTGCATAGAGATTTTACTATAATAGTGCCCCCGCAACCACTCACGACAGCATACAACAGACTACCGGAAAAAATTGCACGCACATCTACACAAACACACAGACGCTAATGAGAAACGGATTGAAGGCATTTTTCAACTATTTTTACACATTTTTGTTATGGTTTTTAGCAGCCAACTGTACACATGAGCACACACAAACGCAGCCACATACACACACACACATACACGATGTCAAGTCGGTAGCAAAACTTTTTTTTTTCGTTTTTTTTTTTCTTTTGGCCTGCAAAATTGCGTACCCTTCGCGCAGACAGTTGCGGAAAACGTCGCAAATATACAAAAACGATAAGCCCAGGGCGACGTTTAATGTTAAATCACAAGCATTTTGATTGGTACACGTTTTGTGCACATTTTTATGCCAAATTTGAGTTAATTTATTAGCTAATTTGAAGAATAGAAAATTTTCACGACTAGCAATACGTACCACACGACACAGCACAACACCGGACGCCATGTTGGTTAGTGTTGCTGAACGACGCAAAGAAATTGCAGAGCAATTGTGACGTCATCATGCTAATATTACTATCAATAGACATTAGTTAGTATATACAATTAAAACGATTCTCATTTCGATTAATGATTTGCGAATATAGTTTAGAAACTAGAATATTCTTGAAAAATGTTATTGAGGATTTCTGTCTGCGTGTGCTGTTCAACACTATTAACCGCTAGTCAGCCCTGGTCAACTATCGAATCAGCTCTGCCTTCAACTATTAGCTGAAAATCGAAATTTCACAATAGCGCACCATAAAATCTAAAACAGTTTATTTTTTATTTTTAAAGCATTAACCTGAAACAACTTTGCGCTATATGAGGCGGCAACTTTCGGCTCTTCGCAGTAACTCAATAGTTGTTTCAAAATTGACAAAGTTTTTAGTAAAAATAACGGTGCCGCTGTCGTTATTTAACCTAAAGAAAATATTCAGCACAACACAGCCCAACCCCCGCCCGCCCGCCTCCGTAGACACCAAAGAGCAACATGGCTTTCCGGCTGCTCAGCTCGGCCAGGGCAATGAAAAGCCTTATGAAACGCAGCTACACACACGCTCCGCTCACAGACAAGGTGCGTCTGACACACTCATTGAAATTAATTGTGATTAATTTGTTTAATTTTGTCTGCAACTGCAGCTGCAGCGCAGCAGCGCATCCTTTGAGCTGATGCCGCTCGTGCGCTACATTGTGGAGCAGCTGCAATTGTTCTGCAAGAAGCCGCCCAAGGGCTTTGAAAAGTATTTTGAGGCTGGCGGCAAATCTGGCAAACCCAAAGCCGCCGCCGAGGCGGACAAGAAGCCGCCGTCGGGCGGCAAACCGCCGACGTCCGGCGGCAGCAGCAAGTCCAAACCACCCGCGATTAAGCCCAGCACTGCCAGCGATACCAAATCGGATTGGAATTTCGGCATGTTCAGCAACAGTTCACGCGGTCCGGGCGCACGCGGCGGCGGCACGCCAGGCGGCCGTCCTCTGGGCGAGGGCGGCGGCGGCGATCGCGAACGCTGGATTCTGTTTGGCGCCATCGGCGCCGTTGTCCTGATCGGCTCGTTCGCCTTCTTCGAGATGGGCTACAAGGAGATCTCCTGGAAGGAGTTTGTCAACAGGTGCGCCATATCCAAATTTCATAAGACTGCGCAAGCAGTTGCATCATATTTTTCTTACGTTCATATTTGTGTACAGTGAAAGCTCTTTTGAGCGAACGCGACTTTCGTTTTTGTTGACACTAAGGCAAACTGCCAGAGATTCACCAGTGTGGGAAAATGCAGCTAGATTTTAACTAAATTTGGCTATTTTAGACAAAGGGCCTAACTTTTTGGCTTTATTTTTATTTTTTTTTATTTTTTGCTCAAAAAACGAATTCGGCTATTTTTTAAAATCATTTCGAGCTTTTTAAGTTGCAGTTGCCAAAACTGGTTCCCAAGGGAGCTGTTCGTTCATGGAGCTTTCACTGTACATGTACAAAATTTCGTGCGTTCTTTTTATTTGTTTTTGTGACGTAAGAGTCTAGTTTTGGAAATATTATTATTTTCATCCGAAAGTCTAAAAGAATGTGTGAACCCTTTTTCGCACTAATTATTTATTTAATTAGTGCGGGGATTTGGCGATATTTATTTTATTAAATTATAGGGCTTGAATATTCGTAGGAATCAAAAACCAATTTAGAATCAAGTTCAGATTTGATTTAATTCATCCTCTATATATTCATTTATAATTCAAAATATTTTAATTTCAATATCGAATTAATTTTTGTTAAGATTGTAACACTAACCTTCGACGGTTTTTGTTAAAAATTTAGGTTTTTAATTTCATTTAAAGTATTTTATTGCTGAATCGGACTATATATACCTAATATATATTCTATTAAATCATAAGAATCTCCAACGATTTCGGGTAGAATTATTCTTGCGGCATAAAACTAATTTCTTCAGACGAACAGCTTTAAATTCAGTTAGTTTTCGCTTAGCTTTAATGAAAAATGTCCATAATATAGATTTAGATAGCCGGGCAAAGCCGGTTAATGCCTTTCAGGACACACATGAATATTTTATAATTTAAACAGGATCTAAAAAAGGCTTTTAAAGGATTGGAAATCCATATATGTAAATGATTATATAATCGTGCTCACCATTTCCCAGCTACCTGTCCAAGGGTCTCGTCGAGAAACTGGAGGTGGTCAACAAGAAGTGGGTGCGTGTGCGCCTACAGCCGAGCCAGAGCAGCAGCGGTGTCATGTGGTTCAACATTGGCAGCGTTGATTCCTTTGAGCGCAATCTGGAGACTGCGCAAACGGAACAGGGCGTCGAGTCCATCAATTTTGTGCCCGTCATCTATCGCAACGAGGTGGAGGCGTCCAGTTTGACGGGCCTGTTGCCCACGTTGTTGATAATTGGTTTTCTCGTTTATATGATGAGAAAATCGGCGGATATGATGGGGGCCGGACGTGGACGCAAGGGCGGCGGCTTGTTTGGCGGTGTCATGCAATCGACGGCCAAGTTAATTAATCCCACAGAGATTGGCATCGGTTTTAAGTGAGCTACTTCCATTTAACTAACTCAAGGAATCAATTAACATATACGCCTTCGCCCCTTTTGCAGAGACGTTGCCGGCTGTGAGGAGGCTAAAATAGAAATCATGGAATTTGTCAACTTTTTGAAGAATCCGCAACAGTATATTGATCTGGGCGCCAAGATACCCAAGGGCGCCATGTTAACCGGCCCGCCCGGCACGGGCAAAACCCTGCTGGCCAAGGCGACGGCTGGCGAGGCGAATGTACCATTTATCACTGTATCCGGCTCGGAGTTTCTCGAAATGTTTGTGGGTGTCGGTCCCTCTCGAGTCCGTGACATGTTCGCCATGGCGCGCAAGCACGCGCCGTGCATACTCTTTATCGATGAGATCGATGCCGTTGGCCGGAAACGTGGCGGCAAAACGTTTGGCGGCCATTCCGAGCAGGAGAATACACTGAATCAGCTGCTGGTCGAAATGGATGGCTTTAATACGACCACGAACGTGGTGGTGCTGGCTGCCACCAATCGCGTGGACATTCTGGACAAGGCGCTGATGCGTCCGGGACGTTTCGATCGCCAGATCTATGTGCCGGCGCCGGATATCAAGGGACGCGCGAGCATCTTTAAGGTGCATCTGGGCTCACTTAAAACGGACCTCGACAAGAACGCCTTGTCTCGCAAAATGGCTGCACTGACGCCGGGCTTTACCGGCGCCGACATTGCCAATGTGTGCAACGAGGCGGCGCTGATAGCGGCTCGCGACTCCAAGGACTCGATTGTGCTGAAGCACTTCGAGCAGGCTATCGAGCGTGTCATCGCGGGCATGGAGAAGAAGACGAATGTATTGGCGCCCGAAGAGAAACGAACGGTGGCTCACCATGAGGCTGGTCATGCGGTGGCCGGCTGGTTCCTGGAGCACGCCGATCCGCTGTTAAAGGTTTCGATAATACCACGCGGGAAGGGTCTGGGCTATGCCCAGTATTTGCCCAAGGATCACTACTTGCTGTCCAAGGAGCAGCTGTTTGATCGCATGTGCATGACCCTGGGCGGCCGCGTGGCCGAGGAGTTGTTCTTCAATCGCATCACCACCGGCGCACAGGATGATCTCAAGAAGATCACAGACATCGCCTACTCGCAGGTGGTGCGTTTTGGCATGAACGAAAAGGTGGGCCAGGTCAGTTTCGATTTGGGCCAAAGCGGCGATCCCGTGTTCAGCAAGCCCTACTCCGAGGACACCGCCATGATGATCGATGGCGAGGTGAGGGATATCATTAAGTGCGCGCACACGACCACAACGGAGCTGCTGGTGAAGCACAAGGAGGATGTGCGTCTCGTTGCGGAGCGTTTGCTGCAAAATGAGGTGCTCAGTCGCGATGATATGATTGAGCTGTTGGGACCGCGTCCATTTAAGGATAAGTCAACGTACGAGGAATTTGTAGAGGGCACCGGCTCCTTTGAGGAGGATACAACGCTGCCCGAGGGTCTGAAGAGCTGGAACAAGGAAAAGGAGGAGCCAGCTGCGACGGACACGACAGACACAACGCCACCGTCGCCGCCCACAAAGCCAGCGACGGCTTCCAGTTAAATGCGTGCGTTACTTTTGGTTTCTGTTGTTTTTTTTTTTTTTGTTGTAGTCTTAGTCGCAGATGGTGAATGATGTTCGAATGCTCGGACTCCGACTTGGAACGCTGAAGTTCACGTCCTGCTTTAAAAATGAACTCAAATCTTTGCCTTTTCCAACACACCTTGTAAGTGAAAGTAAACGCTATCTATCTATCTTTTTACAACACTTTTCCAACACTATTGGGAGGCGTTTGCCAAGTCTTTCCTTTTCGCCCGCGAAATTGTTAGCCGATATTTCGAACAGATTCTAGTTGGAAGCTGAGCTGTGCTAAATTTACCGTATTCTAAAAAAATATGTAAAATGCAATAAAACTATAAATTTTTTCGAAAACTCAAATGCAGTGTTGCGTAACCTTCCAAAAATTGTGACATCACATTAAATATTACGTATTTATGCACGTATTTTAATTTAAATATTTTGTTTAACTTCATTTTCAATGAATTTTTCCTATAAAAATTTAATTAAAACAACTTGGGTCAAACTCTTGACTCTTTTTAAAGATCAGGCTTTTTTTAACTAAGTTACAATCATTTGAGGCATTTAAAAAATATAGCTGGATAAATTTAGCACTCGATTGGCATTCACTTGAATCTAAAATTAAATTTAATTCTTTTCTCAACATTTCACAAAGCTTTCTCTACAAATTGTGCGCAGTGTAAGCTTTCGAAGCTCAATACAAACGCATTAAGCATAAAGCGCAATGGAAGCAAATGTAACGCTCTTAAGCGTCAGCTCTGCGCTCTTAAGTTGTGGCGTGCGCTCTCACGCTCACACACACACACGCACACACAGACGTACGCACGCTCTCTGCACTGCTTATCACTTATCAGCTGTGCGCTGTGGCTTTTCGGCATAATGCAGCCGGCTGGCTGGTGCACTGTGAACATTTCGCACAGCCTCTGCCGACGTCGTTAGGTTGCCGACGCGGCCGCAAAGCTTCGCTCAACTACAACTACTACAACCAATACAAGTGCAGCGCGTGCTACTGTGACCCGATGCCGCTGTCGCTGTCGCTGCCTCTGCTGCTGCTGCTGCTGCTGCTGCTGCTGCCGCTGCCTCAGTGTCAGTGTGTTGTTTGGGGGCTTCAGCTACGTTGGGGCTGGCTGCCGTGGCCGTGTCTCAGTGTCGTCTTGTTGGTTGTCGCGTTCGTGTGCGCGCACAAAATCAGCAGCAGCAGCAGCAACAGCAACAGCAGCAGCAGCAGTCGAAGCAATTGCAATCGAATAAAGAATATATAAAATTTAGCTCGCTCGTTGCAGTTGCAAGTGAAGTGCGTGCCAGTAACGGCATAAACAACAACACTTAACAACAACAAATTGTTTGTTTATTTGAATCGGGCGACCAGGGCATTGTGTCAATGCAAAATTGACGATTATATAAAAGTGCGCGGCATTCAATTCTAATTACAAACAACGACAAAATAAAGTGCAATTTGAGTGTGTGCATGTGTATGCGTGCGTGTGACTGTGTGAGCCTGTGTGTGTGTGTGTGTGTGTGTGTGTGTGTGTGTGTGCCCGTGAGAGGTGGCAAAGTGTTGTGGGTTTTTTAGGCCAAGTGTTTGTTTTAGGCCGGAAATAAATAAAAATCAGCGACAGCCCTGGCAGCAAGCCCACGCCAGCAGCAATCAGCTTTTGTCGATCGCACGTGCAAAATGGCGGCCGGCCGGCAAAGCCATTAAAGCCAACAACAATATAGCGACAGGAGCAGCAGCTGCAGTCGCAGTCGCTGTCGCAGCGGCAACCTGAAACTCTCCAATTACACACACACACACACACACACATGTCTACACAACGATCGTGGCGCCAACTGGCGGCAGTTTGCTGCAGCTAGTCGATCACTTGTGCTTCGCAAATTTGTCGTTTGATTTTCGCAGCGAATTTTTTTGCTGCTGCTGCCAATTGTCGCAATTGGCGGGTCACGTGTTTGCTGCCGCCGCCAGTTAACTTCTGCTCTCGCTGTAACGGTGCATGTACCGTAACAGCTAACCGTCCCCCCCCCCACCAACCAGGGCGTATGTGTGTGTCGCTTGCATGCTGCGCGTTATTATAAAGCTCGTTGCTATTGTTGTTGTTGTTGTTGTTGTTGTTGTTGTTGCTTGGGGGAGTCAACATGCTGTCCCCATTGCATGCAATGCACTATTTACATATATATACTTATGAGTGTGTGTGTGCGTGTGGGTGTGGGAAGATCAAGGCGTGTATTGAAAACAATGGCAACAGCAACAACAACAAAAAGCGCATTGCTATGAAATCGTTATCGTTTGCGTACTTTTTTTTGCTTTTTCGGTTGCTTTTCAACGCGTTTCGTGAAGTAAAGCTTGTTAAAGGATTTCTAACGGCGCTTTGCGTAGACAGCCGCAAACGCGCACAAAATAAAAATGTCATGGAAGCAGCTTAAGAGATTAAGCTCGGCTGCAGTGTTGTAAAGGGCGTTGCATTTTGCTTTATGCCGAACAACAGCGTGTGGTGACACTGGCCAAGCTTAGCTTATTATTGGAGCGCAGGCAAAGATGCGAGAGCTCAAAAGTAATCCACGCCAAAAGTAATTCCACTCCAAATGCCAATAGGTCCGGTTGAGAAGCGCATAGAAGTCAATGTTTATGAATAAAAAGACAATGTGGTATAGCTGTTGTTCGGTTTGAGAATCGCATAGAAGGACTGAGAAAGCTAACTCAAAGGCATTTATTTTGTTAAGACCTTTGCACTTAATTTGCATCTTTCAGCTTTACCAAAAATGTTTTTGTATTCTTTTTCAAACAGCGATATTCATTGTAACGTATCTAGCTGTAACGCCCCATCCCCCTCACCAGCACCCGCTCAGTCCACGCCTCGCTCAGTTGTTTGAGTTTTACGATTATACGTTTCGAATCATTTGGAATTTACGGGCAGAGGCTACCGACTACAGCAGCTGCTTAGAAATTGCAATTTGTTTTAGGTCTCAGCCAATTTAATGGCGTGATTTTTTGCCGTTGTTTTTGTTGTTGTTGTGTTATTTTTGAAACCAAATTCATTGCAGTAATATGTTGCCTTCAAACCAAATACAACAACAATAGTTAACGCAACGTTTCTAAACATTTCTTTAAAAACTAAAAAAAAAAAAACTAAATAAAAATAAAAATAAAAAAAAAAACAACACCAAATCCAACAACTTGTTAACCAAAAGTGGCCTGCAAAACGAAGCAACAACCCAGAAATGTGATTCAAAGTGCGCAATGTAACAAAAAACGTAAACAATTTTGTTTTGGATAAGCAAAATAATAATAATATTAATAATAATAGTTTAAAAAGCAAAGCCAAATGGAACTCGCGTCGAGTAGCGTATTAGCAGCCATTGTCAATGATTAAAACGGCGTTAGATTGATAGCTCGCAACGTCGCCGTCGCCGGAGTCGCCGTCGTCTTAGTTAGCGTTAGACGTAGATACACACACACACACACATACACACACGCACAGCTCCTACACCAAGCTGTTCGATGCCCGCACAACAGCAGCAGCAGCAGCAACAGTTTTTAGGACATTAACCAAAGCACACACAGTTCCAGAGGACCCAGAGCGAAAGAGAGAGGGAGAGTTAGACAGAGCGAAAGCGAGGGATAGAGAGAGAGAGAAAGATAGCCAACATGGACATCAAGATTGAGCAGCAGCAGCAGCAGCAGCAGCAGCAACAGCAACAGCAGCAGCAACAACAAACGGAGCTGGGACCCGTTTCGCCCTCGGAGGTGCCCAATGATCCTGGGTAAGTGTCGACGTGGACGTGGCATTAATTGTTTTAGTTTTCTATACCCTATGCCCTTTGGTAAAAGCTTTACAAAGCGGCTATATTGACGCTGTGCTAACGTATGTAACAGGCAGCTTTGCTATCATTAAGAATATACATAAGTATATATTCTTGATCAGCATCAACAGCCCACTCGATCTAAGTATCACATCACATCTATTTCTTATCCGAAATCGATAAATATCGCTTACCAGCAGGGGGTTTTGAGTCTGGTAAAAGATCGCTATCAACTTGAATTATTAAAAATGTTTTTTGTTTTTATCAGTTCAAGTTTATTTCATCAATTTGTATCGGGTTTTTCATTATTGTTAACTTCATCTGTTTCTCTGAAATCGATATATATCGATTTAAAGCTTTTCTCTAAAAATATGGCTTTTTCCGTTCCTATCTGTCTGAAGACCTTAATCTAGATACTTTAAGCGGTCATTGAAGCGCGTAAATTTTCCTTACAAAAATTGTTTATTTCTCCTTTTTCTTTAAAATCGATTAATATCGATTAATCGAGAAATGCCGATTTAGTCACTAGCGACTTGTAATTTAAAAATAGGCTCTTGTTATCCGATAAAGTTTATTTCCAATATTTTTGTTCCATCTGTTACTCTGAAATCGATAAATATCGATTTTAAGCTTTTATCTATATGGATCTAGGCTACGAAGTCCTAAAATTTTAAAACCAGTTCTTGTGTATCATATTCAGTTTATTTAAGTTTATTTGCTGAGCTCCGTCTGCTTCTACGAAATCGATAAACCGATAACCGTTTCAAGCATCTAGTTTTTAAGTATTTATCGATAACGATCTAGTCATGTCTGCCTGCCTCTGTCGACTTAAGATTCTACAAAGAAGTTCTAGCATATCAGATCTCCAGTTTATCTATAATAATTTTTATTACACGTATAGGGTACCTGCTAGTCGGGCATTTGGGACACTTGGCGCGCTGTTGCTTGTTTTAGTTTTAAGTTGTCATTATTGAAGCCAAGTGCGAAACGCCCACGCGACTGAAGTGCCTCGGCCTCTGCCCCCCCGCAACAGTGAGTGTTGAACTGTTGACAGAAACTTTTTCTGTGTCAACTGCCCAGCCGGATGAGAGACTGTGGCCCGCCCCCCACTGCCTTCTCCGTCGTCACCTAGCAGCCATACATCCCTGGCTGTCCCTACGCTGAAACTAATTAGAAAACAATTTGCTAAGGACATCAAAATTCAATTAAAGCCATTGAGTTTAGTGCTTTAGTGCACTGCAGTTGGCAACGTCCCGAACTGGCCACGACTCGCATTTAGTCCAGTTTACCCCATTGGCAACAGTTTATTATTATCCTGCTCGGAGCCCAAAGCTAGTTTGTGTGTGTCTGTGTGCCTGAAATGGGTTAAGTTGTGATTGCGGTGTCATATGCAGCAGATTAATTGCAAGCTGCATTGCTGATAATTTGCATCAGTTGTGCTTTTTGGGCGCAAACTGTCAGAAAGTCAGACAACGCAAATGAATGGCAAATGATTGGCACTAAACTGGGCTAAATGAGCTGAAAGAGCATGTACGAGTTTGAAGGCTAAATTAGAGCCAAGTGTGATATGTGCGAAATATATATTGAACAGGTGAACACCAAATGACAGATGTTTGCGGCAAATGTAGGCAACTAATGAGTCTTTGAGAAGCGCAAAGAAGGGCGCAATTATGCAATCGAGAGCTGTCGTGCTTGGGTTGCTTGGCTGGAAAAGCGAGTTTGAGCGTGATTTTGTGGAAAAATTAATGATACATTTTTTTTGGAAGTTTAATATTCTATATTTAATTATATAACTACGAATATAAATCAATTATATTGCTGTAAAAACATAAGTAAATTGGTTGGGTGGCTTTTTATAAGCTACTCCCAGTCAAAGCAGCAATTGTATGTTTGAGAAGCGCAAAGAAAGGCGCAATTGTGTGCTGTGCTTGGCTTTAAGAGTGAATTTGACGTTTACAGACACAGTTAAATATTTTATACTCTATTCCAAGGGAATATAAATCAAGTTTAATGCTTTTAAATCCAAGTAAGCTAATTGTTTGTACGGCTTTTTCATTAGCAACTCGCAGTTTAAGCGAATGAAACAAAGATTGGTTGCGTCTTTTATCCAAAAATAAATACCACACAACGAGAAAACGCCCAATTAAGTGGGATATTTTTGTCAACAAGTGACAAGACAATTGAATAAAATAGCGCGAAGACGTCTGCACATAAATGATCAGCACGAGCTGTGAAAAATAACGACTAATTTATTTCTTTTGCGAAATCTTTTAGTTTCTTGTTGTGTGCAAATCATTTAAGTTAACAAAATATATAATTATATACTTTAGATGAACAAAATAAAATTATAAATTGGAAATCTTAGAAAGGGTACAAACGTGATTAGGGTAAAACGTGCTCTTTCTTTCCAAATTGCGAATCTTCAACAATATGAAATAGGTTTAAAATCAAAGTTTCTAAATGGCGAGAGTATATATAAAAATAGGTGAGAGTGCTTCGGTAGGGATTGCCCGACTAGATAATACCCTGAACCTTCTTATACAGTAGAGAAAGAGAGAGAGAGGTAGTTAGAGAAAATCATAGTTTCTAGAAGCAACAAAAGAGCTACGCATCAGTTGAATGTAGATCTAAAAAAACAGAGCAGAGTTCAACATTGTGAATTGTCTTCCATCACTTCACATTTCAGTTCCAGCAAATTGCGCCCGATAATCAGCAGCGGCATCTGCAACTGCAACTGCAACTGCAAAATGCAACTGCAACAGACGCTGCAAATGCAACTGGGCCGCTTTCCATGCCGCTGCCTTCTGCCGCTGCCTTCTGCCTTTTGCCATATGGCCGCAAACGCTGTCGCCGTCGTCGCAACCCATTGAACACGCAAAGCCTATAAATTATGCAGTTCATGCTTATATAGCATATGCACCTATATCTCTAGAGATAGACAGATAGATATACATATATAAATATATATTTATGTGGAAAATGTGTGCATATATCTATTATCGAAGCGCTGCAAATTGTATAACCCGAGCGAATTTCAGCACTCCGCAAAGGGTAAGCGCTGAACTGGCCCCCAGCTCATCTTGTCTAGCTGCATTAGTTGGCCAACACACACACACACATTCGCACACACACACACACACACACGAAAATAGGCTCTGCTGGCAGCGGCATTTTCGGGGCACATCCCAGAGAGCAGCTACAGCCACCGGATAAAAGAAATGGATCACCTGCTGCTGGCAGCTCCACGCTCGACACACGACGTCGACGTCGACGTTGGCGTCGCAGCAGCAGCTCTGGGCGACGGCAGGTGCAACAGGCAGCAGCAGGCAGGCAGGCAACATTGGGGCAATGTCTGCGATGGCGACGCGAATGGCAAATGCAGCACCTAGCGAATGTTGAATGCATAAATCTTGAATTAATGTAAAATACCTTTTGATGACGCTGCGAGATACACAAGCAAACGCACACGCACACGCACACGCGCACACTCACTCACTCGCACAGATACAAATGTATCTTTTAGCGCTAGCGTTGTGCAATTTTGCAAATACCGCTCGGCATATGCACTGCGAACACAATTCCATTCACAGTTTTCTTTCGTCGACGATCGCCGCGTCACGGCTCAGTAAATTTGGACCGTCCTCTATTCAACGTACGTACCCCAAACGCAGGCTCCCCCCCCTGTCCCGCCCCGCCCCCAGCATTCACCTAGCCGGCTACTTTATAAATCTTTTGAAGGGCCCCGAAACGAAAAGATTTGCAGCGCGCAAAGCGGCAAAGTAAATAAACACAAATGCGAAACAACGCGCAAAGAAATGAATAAAAAAAAAAATAAATAAAAAAAAATTAAAAAAAATATAAATAAATAAAAAGAACACAACAAATAAAACAACATCGAAAGAAATAACTAAATAAATGCCCTGCTATTAATACAATTCACTTTGCCAATGTATTTTTAGTACAAATACAAAAAAAAAGCGAAAAAAAAAACAAACACTAGTCTTATGGAAGACACAAATGATGCACTACTGGAATACCCTAGAAAGCACTTTGAATTTTTTTAGAATAAATTAGTGAGGTAAATTTTTTGAATATGAAATATTATTTTATATATGTTGTATTCCGAGATAAAATTTTATAAAAAAATATAATTTATCTTGGGATTGGCATATCAATATTATATAGTGTTGAAAAATGTTGAAAATGCGGAAAGTCAATATAATGTAGTGTTGAGAAATGTTAAAAAGACAAGTCGAATAGGGTTCTAATATGTATGCTGCATGTTCAGTGCTAAATTCGATGTTTTGAGATAATATAATATACTGAAAAGAAAAGTTTAAAAAATAATTTTTCTACTTTCCTCTTATGTTTTCATTCTGCTCGGTAGTTCGATGCCTGCGCTTGAATCAGCGTATAATGCATATAAATATTATTTTTAACATTTTAAAACTTTAAAAATAAACAAAAATAGTGTAGCCCCTACTCATTTTCTTATTCACGCTAGATATGAGGTGGAAATATTTTTGTAAAGTTTTCGAATTTTTTAATTATTAATAATTAGTTTTATTATTGTAACTTTTTGTTGCTTGCGATAAACAAACAAGCGCCCAACATATTCTAGTATGTTGTTCATTATATTGCAGTCAACTATTTTAGCTAATCTGATGATCATTTCAAATAGATCGCTGATTTACAGGGTATAGAAAATGAGCTACGACTGGCATGCGAGTTCGACAATTATCCATTACAACTGACACGCGGGTATACTAAAAAAAAAAAACATTGAAAAAAAAAAAAATAAAGGAAAATAAATAAAAATAAAATTGAAAAATGAAACAAAAAAACATTGCGAAGTGTCGCAAACATTGCGGTCTTTCGTCGTCATCGTCGTCGTCGCTCTGGCTAAGCCCATGGCCCCCACCGCCAGCTGCAGGCCGCATCATTTGACGCGTGTGCCTGGC